CTGTCGCCATCTTGTGGATTTATAACCGTATCAGGGTATTGATTTCTTACTTGTGGACAAAAATTACGGCACCGTTGCCCGTTCTTTCCGGGAAATGAGGGTTTTAATTTATTATGAGACGCAATCGAGTTCCAGCGCCGATACGATAACGTGCACGGATCTGTTATCCTGCCAATATGCCGGATTATTGAATTATCGGAGCCGGTTGGTTACATCAACGAGGACTATAGCTTAAACATACCAGCTCGCACATACACACACGCGCTGATTTGCTTTTGAAATTCAAACGTTTTTCATCCTTGCAGTAATTTCGATTCGAAAATTGACGAATTCATTTTTGTACCGAATGACGCGTGATAGTAGATTGGAAATATTACCAAAGTGTATAGTAGTCTTCGTACAAGGTTGATCTCGGTATAAGTAGAATTGAATATACTTGACATACTTCAAATAAACGAAAGTTTTCACAATTTCAATTTAGAAATTTAAATATCGTTAATTGTTTCACAAGCACAATTAGGAAATCGACGAATTGGAAATATTGCGGTACGGTTCGCAGGAAGTCGATCTCGGTACAAGTAGAATCGAATGCACTTGCCATCCTCCTGAACGAACGAAAGTTTTCGCAATTTCGATTTAAAAATTGAAATATTTTTCATTCTTCCGATAATTCAGATATGTTGAAATAGAACGATTTATTAGTAACACGTGATAGAACATTAGAAATATTACGTATGTGCCAGCGTTATAGTAGTCTTCACAAAAGGTCGATCACGGTATAAGCAGATATACTTGCCATCCCCCCCCCCCCCTTCCCTGAACAGAGACGAAAGCTTTTGCAATTTCGTCTTAGTGCTTCTTTCATCTGAAGTGCAGTGTTATTTCTCGGATCTGATGGTTGATTCAATCCTCGAACACGGATGGAACACAGAAAACTGAAATAACCGAAATTTCAACCTGGTCTTACGCCACCAGTAATACACGAAACCCCGTCCCTAGCCTTGTACAATATCCTCGCGAAGAGGAATTTAAAATCGCCTACAAAACCGAAACGAACGCAAATTGCACAATTCGTTTCGTGCATTCCGGATTCCTTTTCCAAGATAGGGGGGGTAAAATACACGGCTGTGGTAATCTTGGAGTCGACGAACGACGGAAACACCGACAGAGGAAGAAATTCCAGAAACAAAAACGACCGCTCATCCCCGGCTTCAATCTGAAGGAAACATGCACATCAGGGGCAGTTCCCTGTCGCGAGGCAAAAATACCCCCGTCCGTGGAGACTGCGACGCGTAATAAGATCTCGAGAAACGTCGAACCGAGCTGGTGAGTGGAGTCGTCGTCGTCGAATCGAATCGACAGAACGGAAGTGTGAGAGAAAGAGAAAGAGAGGAGAGACAGAGAGACAGAGAAAGAGAGGAGAGACAGAGAGAGACAGAGGAAGAGACACAGAGAAAGAGGGAGAGACGCAGATAGAGGGAGAGACACAGAGAAAGAGAGGACAGACAGAGAAACACAGAGAAAAAAAGAAGAGACAGAAAAAGAGAGAGGAGAGACAGGGGGAGAGACACAGATAGAGGGAGAGACACAGAGAAAGAGAGGAGAGACAGAGAAACACAGAGAAAAAAAGAAGAGACAGAAAAAGAGAGGGGAGAGACAGAGGGAGAGACACAGATAGAGGGAGAGACGCAGATAGAGGGAGAGACACAGAGAAAGAGAGGAGAGACAGAGAAACACAGAGAAAAAAAGAAGAGACAGAAAAAGAGAGAGGAGAGACAGAGGGAGAGACTCAGAGAAAGAGAGGAGAGACAGGAAGAAACAGAGGAAGAAACACAGAGAGGAGAGACAGAGAAACACAGAGAAAAAAAGAAGAGACAGAAAAAGAGAGAGGAGAGACAGAGGGAGAGACACAGATAGAGGGAGAGGAGAGACAGGAAGAAACAGAGGAAGAAACACAGAGAGGAGAGACAGGGAGAGACAGAGAGAGAGATGGGTAGATCCAGGGAAAAAAGGAACGCGTGACGTCATTACGCCGCGGCTCGAGCAACGTACCCTCACAAAGGGAGCCAGACCACCTCTGTCGAGGCCCATGACGTAATGACGGTGAAGCACACGTTGCTACGCACCCCACTAATTACGAGGAGCGAGCGCAATCGGTCTCTCCAAGCGAAATCCGGCCAACCTACGCCCTTCGAGCCTCGGACTCCCGGCGACCGAGTTTCGCGGTACCACGTATGCAGAGTTGGGTGAAATATCCAGAGGAAATATTTCAAATATTACTATTTTAAATAACAGATTCTATAGACGGTGGATGTAGAATGATGTTTTAAATAGGAGGTGAAATTTTCACGAAATATTTCAAGTATGAAATGGGTACTTGGAATATTTCTTGATAATGAAAATACGTGCTGGATGTATTTCAAAATTTCCTTCGAAAATAGAAAGAGTATGTTGAAAAAAATTCTTTGGGATTTATCAAATTCGTTGATGAGTTACTGAACATATTTACTTTGGAATACTACTCAATTTTTCTTTTGTTCATTGTGGGCTGTAAAGTGATGAAATAATATAGCTGAAACTGTATATTAATTAGTGGAAATAAATAAATTCTTCAACATTTATAATTCTTTCTTTTGTAAAGTCTGTCTAGGAAAGTAGTCTGGAGTTGCTGGTCGATCGTATCGAGAAATGCTCAAAAGTTTTTCACTGAAAAAAATATTGATTAAAAAATAAAGAGAAAAGTATAATTGTAAAAGAGCAATGGTAAGTGTATGTAAGATATGATATATTTGAAGAAGTGAATTTTGAGGGAAACTGGGGAGAGGTAGATTTAGACTTGAGGGAAGAAAGAATTAAAAGTTCTGAATGAAGTTTCCCTAAAGCTAGATAAATCCTGAAGAATTGTATTTCTCAAATTTAGTACCTTCTTCAATTTCGTTTTCCACTTATAATTACAAATAAAAAATAAAGCTTCTTTTGGAAAATAATGAAAATTTTCTTTCGTTAAATAAAAATGTGAAAAATCCTAATTAGTAAGGAATGAATAATGCACGTGATTAACAGGTAAGTACGCATTTAAATGCAGCATGTTTTCAATTTCATTAAAGAATAATATTTCAATTACCTAGACTAACACTTTTAATTAAAACAATAAAGCAAAATATGAATGAACTATTCTCATATCAACAAAAGATTACCTGTTATTAAAACACATAAAACATATCTGTATTAAAAATATTAACAGAAGATTAATAAATTAAGTAGACGATATTAATTTCTTCGTGAAGTTATATCACCGTGAAGTGTATAACTTTATCGTTAAAAGCGGAAGTAAAAATGTTGAAGCATCCTAGTTAGTTGACAGAATGAGAATAAGTAAACAGTGTCTGGCGTAACGCATCCTCTACTACTAAACCCGCCAGTGGAGGGGATATACAAGGGATGTATACCTATCCTTTCCTTGACTTCCGTCACCTCGTCAAAGTAGAATAGGTCAACCGAGAAAGTATAGTCGATCGTACATCTACAATTACCAATATTACTGTAGTTAACATTACAACCTATATTGCACTGCAAAGTACTTACCAATTTGTCAAATAATTTTCCATAAACAATTACATTTGTTTCATTTATTGTTATATCCACACACAGATAACGTATTATTTCGTTGCTAAAGCTACGATAAAAAGTTGTTAAATCATGATTGAACGCTATTTTAATGAACGCTGTACGCTTTCAATAATTCTCGTAGATACCATGTCTAGAGAACGGTACGCAATTATTGTGCAATCTCATAGCCGACTTTGTCGAGTTATAATCTCTTGACGTATAAAATTTACGACTCACCTATCGCAGAATAATCAAGAACACCTTTCCGCTGCTAATGTTACCGACGTTGTTGACTCATGCTGAAGATACATTCATAGCGTAGCTTCAGTTGAATGACGTTCGTATATCGCACAAAAGATCTGTATCAAACGAGAATATCGTTGTGATAATAAAGAATTTTTAAAATAAAGTCGAAGAGATTTCGATATTTTTTTACGTATTTACACAATTTTGTTATGCAACTAATATTCCGATTAGAAACGATAAGTTCGAATAGTTGTTTAAATAATTCTCTAATTATATGGTTAGCTGTTTCGAAGTATTTGTGTTGGAATCGAATAAGACGAAATAAATGTAACAACAGTTAACATATGTCAATACAATCGCATTTATGCTTCGTCGTAGTTTTAACGAATAATACGAATGTTATATATCAATAATATATACCGTACTACTTTTATATATTACAATAATTTAAAAGAAAAGTAAAAATACGTAAGAAAATCTTTCTGTTTACTATATTGAATCACACGTAAGATTCGTCAATTGTCCTGAAGTTGTCTCCACAAAGTATCGCAAGAGTCGAGAGTATCGATTGTACTTTGGCGCCTTTATTTTCGCGCCAATTTTTACTACGTACATGAAAATTGTACACAATTTACGACACGACCAATTCCCACAGTGCAATTTATAATATTTTGTAATTTATGTTTAAGATTAAATAGAAAGAATAAAATTGCGATTAAAGTAGAATATTTATAAAAATTTACAGCATTATTCAAATACAAATAAAATGTTAATATTGTACTCCTAAAGTTCCTATTTTTTCATGATTATGAGTTCTTTCGTAAATACATTTTACGTTACTCTGTACGCTGAGAATGCATTGTTACGTACCCGCTTTATCTGTTTTCTCGTGAAATGCATGGAATGGTAGATCGGTCTGTACATAGAATATCGATATAGATAGATTCCGTGTTAAGTCAATACAGTAAGTCCTTTTAAGGTGCCTCTTAAAAGGAAACTGGCGATACTCCAACGTATATCAAATTAACAATTGAATATCGTTTATAAATTTCTTCATTGATCACAGTAGTAATTAACCTATACGAAAGCTAAAAATAAATAATATGTAAGACTTCACAAGTTTTAAACGTAATTATAAGATTATCATGTTGAGAACAATTTCTCAATTGACTCCTGTAGTAGCTCCGTCTCAAATATGGCTGAAACGTCAGCCAGTGTGCAGTCCGTATAGTGTGGTTGGCTGTTACGGTGGTACGCGTAACGATTTATCGCGTATTATTACGCATCAGTCTAAATGTTTCGTGTTCTTCCTGCGCAAAACTACGAGAAGAGAGTTTCAGCAGTCTAGTAATACTGCTGTCATCACATGCAGCGAGATAAAAGAAGAAGAAATGGCACCAACGCGTGTTATTCTTATGTCGTGTGGCAGTTATAACCCTCCAACCAATATGCATTTAAGAATGTTTGGTACATATATATCATCCTTATAATCAATATCGAGTCTTTACGTAAACACAAAACTCTTCGATATATGCGATATCAGTAATATATAATGTATGCAGTACAGTAGACGAATTTTACAACAGTCATGCTATCTCGATTATTTGAATAAATCCAGTAATATACAATGTATGCAGTACAGTAGACGAATTTTACAACAGTCATGCTATCTCGATTATTTGAATAAATCGAAACACTGTTAAGATAACACTGTGTAAACAGTCCAGATTGATGTCATTGTCTTATATAAAATATGAAACATGCGTTCATGCGATAGTCAAATTTTAAATAAACTTGTAGATAAAATTTATTGTTAATAAAGCAATTCGAATTATTTATGTAAACTGTTTTTTTGCAAAAATAAATAAATTTCACCTAAAGACTTACAATTACAGCTACAATTAAACATGGAATACAGTGTTGATTTTTCATCTAACATTTGCAGAAATTGCCAGAGACCATCTACACAGGATGGGAACACATATTGTTGTTGGTGGTGTTATATCTCCAGTACATGATGCGTATGCTAAAAAAGAACTTGCAAGCGCTACACACAGATGCGCTATGTTAAGATTAGCCTTACAAAACAGTGATTGGATCAGACTTAGTACTTGGGAAGCTAGACAGAATGGTTGGACAAAGACTAGAATAAGTTTACAGCACCACCAAAATTTATTGAACTCTGTGTTGTTCGATGCAAATAATATTAAACATAATATAGCAACTGAAGATTTGGAATGGATACCAGAAAATGTAAAAAATAGTGCTGATCATACTCCAATTCAGATTAAACTACTGTGTGGTGCTGATTTGTTAGAAAGTTTTGGAACTTATGATCTTTGGGCTGAAGAAGATGTAAGTTGATACCACTTTGTTTCTGCTTATTGTGTCAACATTTAGAACAAATACTTTCAACTCTCTTGTTTACAGATTGATGCCATTGTTGGAGAACACGGTCTTGTAGTTATTACGAGGGAAGGTTCTAATCCAAACAAGTTTATATATGATTCAGATATTCTTTCCAAACATATGGTAATTAATTATTCACCAAAGATTATTGTATATCTTGTGTATGTTTTTGATTATTTTACAAAGTTAATTTATTTACAGCACAATATATACATAGTAACTGAATGGATTCCAAATGAAGTTAGCTCAACTAGAATAAGGAGAGCATTGAAGCGAGGTGAAAGTGTCAGGTATCTCCTGCAAGATGCTGTGATTGATTACGTCTATAAGCATGGAATTTATGATGCAAAGACTACAGCATCAACAATGTGAGTTTAAATATAATTTAACTGAAATGATAGTTCACTTAACTAGTGGTAATTTAATAGCATATCTTCCAGTAGATTTAAACAAAAATTTATTTTTGTGTATTTTGTATGAGAAGTGTATATTTTTATAGCATTCATATTCCACGTAGTTGGTGAGTTTAGAGCATATAGAATTGGTTAACCTATAAGACGTTTTAAAGTTTATATACACGTGTAAATTTTATGACCAAAATTTAATCCTTTTAGTACTCAATAATGTCGACGTATTAATCGTAAAGCTGATCATTGTAATCGAAAAAATGAAATATTTGAAATATTAAAGGGAGATACACAATGTTTGCGTGATAGAAAACTTGTAAATACTTAAAACTACGTACACAATGCTCTTCCAATGTCCTACAAATGTATAGAGTGTTAAAAAAAAATACGATCAACGTTATACAAATTCACTTCGTATGGAAATGTAGTAATTTGTAGTTTATCAATGTACATATGTAAATATGTAGAAATAAAGGGATATAAATATTTTTTATAAAATTGTTTAAAAGATATCGAATCCAATCGTTTACAAAAAAAAAAAAAAAAAAAAAATTATTGAGTGTTAAAAGGGTTAACATATTCTGTATGAATAATACTCAGCAATATATTAGTCTAGTCTATAAGAGTCTTCCGTTTACATGTAAATCGAATCTCAATGACCTGCTTCCCCATACTGTAATAACAAATAAATTCTAGCAACCACATTTCTTTACGTTCCTTATGTTAATTTTACAACGTAATTACATGTTTATTTGCTAACTGTAGTAAGAGTATCGATTCACGGCTAAAGGTATATTTTCCTAGCTTCATTCAAACCCCATTATCATTCAAATGAACACTCGATGAACACACGTGGCTCGAACTTCTCGCCGAAACATCGACGAAAGTAAACAAACCGGAAAAAAAAAACAAAAGAATTGGCTCGACAAAAATGGAAACACCTTTCTGCCTGAATCGTACTACTACCGAGCATCAGTACAATAACAACAAAGACCATGTAAAAAATAGTGTCTTGTTTTTCACGCTGCGAATCTACTTGGACACTGAAGTAAGTTGGAACTGACCTCGCCAAACGCGAATAATTACTTGACCATTGATTCCAAGTATCAAAGCACATTTCTCACGCCGTCGCCTAGCGACGTTACCATGGAATCCCCGAGTCCGATCGAAATTATATCCATCGATGTGCCTGACACGGTTCTGCGTAAGAATATCCAGAACGCAACGAACGTGGCATGCGTCGCCTCACGTCACGTCGGCGTCGGCGGCCTCGAGGAGGCCCGCGAGAAATTCATTAACGCTCTCGTGGCGGAGAACGGCAACGCCAAACATTTAACGACCGCGAAGGCCGCGTATCCAGGTCTCGCGAAACAGATCATCGCCACCGAAACCGGCGAGTCGCAGATCCTCGACGAGGTAGGTTTCGTTGACGATGATAAGAAGGTCAGGAAGGTGGTCAGGGTGCAGCCCAGATCGTGTCAGCTGGAAGAGGTGTCCCCGAGTGTCGCCACCTCGTCGAAACGCGAGAGCCTCGCGAGAATCACCGCGTTACCTTGTATCGAGGCTAAAGACAGCGTAGTTAAGTTGACAGAGAACAATGGTAGAGCTCGTCTCGAGCACGATATCGTCGAGGTAGGGTTAGCGGGCGTTAGATGCAAGGATCGCGACAGAAGATCATCGCTTTCTTCGTCGATCATCTCGTCTTCGACCACGTCTACCGTGGACAACGGCGGAGGACGTCACGAGTGTGCTCTCTCCGACTTTAGCGTGGACAAAGAGGATTACAGACTCACGCGTTACGGCATGGACGACGCGGTCGAAGACGAGATCCAGGATCGACGTAAAGATTCTCGGTTAGGCAAGCAGCGATCGAACGACTCCGACGAGAGTCAGCGTAATCTGTCGCTTAAGGACGAGCACGTTAGCCGCAAGGGAAGCGACGAGATCCACGATCAGGATGTCTTCCCTGGCGACAACGTTCGATGCTCGAACACGCAGGTTCTAGTGTTAGTCAGCGCGATGATTCACAATCCTTTCGACAAGGAAGCCGCGACGTTGATCGTTGAGGAGAATGGGGTACAGGGTAAGGGCGAGATCACGATATACAAGGGTGAATCGGACGGAAGTATCGATAAGTTGAGTCTTCTGGTGCAGTCGCCTGCTCCGTCGTCCGTCAGCGACGAGAGCACCGTGAAGATACAAGAGATAGTCGAGGATAAGACAGAAGTGACAAAAGAAAGCTCGGATGATTCGTTGGCTTTGGACAGATCGTCGAAGCGAGACGTGAGCCTAGAGATCGATGGTAAGTATGTGAAGTCCGTGGTGAACTCGCGCAAGAGTCCCAGAAAAACGAAGAACGGTCAAATGCGATTGTACAGCAGCGAGAACGAAGAATGGATATCGAAAGAGATCAGCAAGGCGGAAAAAAAGAGCGCAGATTCTGGTACACAGTCGGAAGAGACGTTCTACAAGACTGTATCGAAGTCCTCGAAAGCTTCTTCTTCCAAGTCGAAGAGTCCTAGGAAAGAGGGGAAATCCCGTTCGAACGGTCAGAAAACTGCGAGCAGTTCGAAGGCTCACGACTCTGCTGGCGAGGAAAGAACGAAGAAAGTGAAACGATACGACGCGTCTTTGAAAGGAAGCCTCGATTCGGTGATCACCACGAACGATTCTCGAACGATCTCTAAAAGAAGATCGAAGATTGACGAGATGTTCTCGAAGAAGTCGAAGAGCTACGAGTCCATCAAGAAGGTCCAAGAGATTTGCTACGAAGATGCTTCCAAGGCTGACAGTACTTCCCAGTTGATCACAGCCAATGAATTAGACATGCAGACGGACGAATTTTGCTCCGTTTGCTGCTACGTGAACGAGATGTCCCTGAGAACGGAGGAAGCTATCGGCAGTCCGTCTCAGGATAATTTCTACACGCTTAGATCGAACTGTAGTTCCATCGCTGACGAGGATTCCACGGAATGTGATATTTGTAGTTCCTGGAATTTACAAGAATCAACAGACGCGTTGGATAGAAAGCTCATCTCCTCGACTACAGATTGCGACCAGTTGTGCGAGGTCTGCGAGATCTGCAGCGAGATCTGCGCCACGTTCAACCCTGAACAGGAGCCTACGTCGTTCTCCGCTACCATGGAGGCGAAAGATCTAACACAGAGTCGAGCGTTAGAGTCTTCCTCGAGGAGTCTTCCAAAGGACAGCTCTAGAATCGTCCATAGTACTGCAACTGATCCTTCCTTGGACGACGACAGCTTCGAGATCGAGAACTGCGGCCTGCAGAGCGGTCCCGAATCGGTGGACGAGAGGAAACAAGCTCAGCAGGACGGTGAAACATTGTCCATGTCTTTCAGTATCTCCGACTCGGCTGTGACGAAGAAGAAATCACGAGATAAATACTTCATCCCTAAAGACGAATTAGCTATTCTTTCCAGCGGCACCAGACGCATGAATCGCAAGGGTTCGCTGCTGAGGAAGAAGCCAACGGAGGACCCTGCGAACGCTTCGCAAGATAAACGGCGCTACTCTTCGGTGGATAATCTTCAATTGGCCAAAGCATCTTCCAGGAGCCACGATAAAATTCTCAGGCCGAAGAACAGTAAGTTAATCGGGTCTGCTGATAACATACGTGCTTCCAGGAGCTCTAGAAGATGCGAACCGCTGCAGAGATCGGCGGACAATGTTCGATACATGGATTCGTCCACGGATAATTTGGATTCGCTGGTGGAGAGTTTGGATAGAGAAGACGAGACGCAGGAGGCTATCAATTGGATGGAGCAACCGAAGGTCCGGGACAACGAGACGGTGAAGATGATACTGACTAAGCATGGAATCAAGATAATCAGCGAGAAGGAAACTGCTCTGTAATGGAGGTGATAGGGTTACATTTAAAGAACAATGAGAGAACGCAATTTGTTCGAAGAAAATCGCTCACAATTAGCTAAAGGAAAAAAGAGGAAAAAGAAAAGAACAAAAAAGAGTTACAGAAAATATATATTATATATACGACACAAAATTAGTTTGAACTATCGTTAGGCCAACTGCAAACCCTAGGATGCAGACTTATCGACTCTCTTGTGATAATTCTGATCGATATATCGTCTTCAAGAGACACAAGATTTTTCACATTATAATATAGATACTTAGTTAACGGATATACGTATATCTATATATTTATAACTCGGGAAACGGGTTCTTTTCCGAGAATAAAACGAAACGCCAGGATGTTACGATTTGATCCTACTCACAGATTCTATTTAATTAATAACGATGATGTTCGCGCGACGAGGCTCTTGAAGAGTTTTGAAAAGTTCTGTAAAGAAGTAAAAAAAGAAAGAAAGAAAGGAGAAAAATGGTAACAGATCTCGAAGCGTGGCATTGTTGAACCGCACGTTGATCGTCGTGAGTAGAAAAAGAGTTCTAAAAAAGAAAGATACGCATATGAGGAGTAATACAAGCCTTGGAGAAACTCTTTTTAGCAAATACAGCAAGAGAAAACGATATATATAAATATATTATTATTACTATTATTATTGCGTTAACGAACTGATTTAAGAGCCATCGCTGTTTGAGCGTGATTAAACGAATTAAATGAATCGCGAGGTGTTTCGTTGTCGCGTGCGTTGGAAAGAGGCACTTTGAGAAAGAGCAAGTAAAAAAAAGAAAAGAAAAAGCGAGGAAAAATTGCTCAAAAGATTGAAACGAACGTGAAACGATATATAATGATCATTCTTGACAACGCACGAGCATCGAGAACAACAAATTATCGAGACAATCCTACAATTAACTCGTCAATATTATAACGAATGAAAAAATGGTTTCAATTAACTATAAAAATATTCTACAAACTACGTAAGTGATACGCTACGATGGGCTGCGGTACATCGATCGGGGAGAACGTGATTAATTAATGTCGCTTCTAATGGAACCCGCCAGATCTCAGTTTACCTTTCGCCGTTTTCAAGAAGAGGAAAGATAAAAGATAAACGAAAAATATATAAAAAAAAAAAAAATAAGTAAATATTAAAAAGAAAGAAATACATGTGATTTCGTTTCGTTAATTCGAAACGTCGTCGTGTAAGTGAAGATCGTTCGCGATAGACTCGATCCTTTTTACACGACGAGCATAAAATGATACAATTAATTAATTACGATTTTACACATTATACATACACACACATCTGCCAAACGACTTTTATTAAAACAAAACGTGCCAATTGTGTTTTTTGATACCTTTGTAGAAATCGTGAGTTTTTTACTATTTCGAACGGCATATCCCGGGTATGATAGTTTTAATCGTCGATACTTTCTCGAACGGTGAGCGATCCAAAAGAGATATCGAGAAGGGGGAGAGAGAGAGAGAGAAGAAAAAAAAGAAGAAAAATACGTTCCTTAATTCCGTCACTGTCGCGCACACGTCGAGCCGTTTTGTGCGAATAATATCGTTCTTTTTCTCTCGAGTGATATCTACAAGTATCTAACGAGCAGTTTCACTATTTCTTATAATTATATCAGCCTCTATATCTATCACTTCTGCTCCGTATCTTTGTGTATCCTGTTTTTTGCACGGTGTCATGCGCCTATCTCTGTCATGAGTCTCGCTTTGAGAAATCCCTCCAGCGATCGTACATTGCTGTCTGTTTTTTCAAAATTAGTATCTTGAGAAATGTCGGCGATAATGCTCCTCCACTGCATCTAACTGTGATGAAATCGTTCGTCGGAACGAACGCGTGCAGAGAGAAATCTGAAATGTGAAATGCGTGTTTTTACATAACATTTTTTCTCTGTCTCTATTTAATTGGTTTTTTTTTTTTTTTTTTTTTTTACAAATGTTTTTGTCTTAAAAGCTTGCTCAGACTGTAGACTTTAACGAGGTTTATCAAAATGATCCGATTGCGAAGTACGCTTAGGTGCAATGGAAACGAATCGCGTTGTTTGATTATAATGGCTGAGCTTCTTAGGCGTACCTGTGTTTTCATAGTGCCTAATTTTCCATTGTTCTGCCAGCAATCGCGGCTCTTGGCGAGCCACTGTCGAGAAGCATCGTGTTTGCGAATGATTTTTTTGCGAGATGCGATTTTGTTTATTCTATTGTTTTTTTTTCTTTTTAATTTTGAGAAGGACGTCTTCTCTCTTTTTTTTCGAACACCATCATTCCCCTTTTTATCACAACCCTGTTTTTTGTTAGTATATTTGGTACGCAAGTCTGATTTTTCTACACTACCTTGCCCCATTTTTTGAACAAACTCTCTGTTCGCTCTTCTTGTTATTTGTATAGTAACGTAGATAGACGAAGGTGGCGAGAAAAATGCTCAAGCTGACGGTATTGACTGTTTAACCCTTTGGGGACGCCATAGTTTCTAATGGAAATCATGTGAACGACTGTTGAATAGAAAAAGAGCGTAAATTTTTGCATTTTATTGATGTATTTTTAGAAGAAGAAAAAAAGAAAAAGATGTATGTCTATTTATTTTTGTTACGATACGAAAGAGAGAGAGAGAGAGGGGAAAAAAGAAGGAATTGTCGTGGATAAAATGTTTATAGTAGTACGATTACCTGGAAATATACCGGCCTTCGACCGCAAAGGGTTAATTCACGAGAAGTGCTTCCTGAGTGCGATTTGAAACGGCATTAGGCCGCCCTCGTATCTTTTTGAAACCAACTCCGCTTCTTTCTTTCTATTCCTGTATCATTCGTTTCTTTGTTGTCTGTATTTTTCTCAATTATTTCGTGAGACATGTGAAATGTGTTTGACCATCACGACTTCTATCATGCAATCGCTCTGTCCAAATTGTATTTACACGCATAAAATGCTCAGTTCGAAACTCGTGCCGTGAAGTGTTCTTGAAAAATTGAAGAAAGAGAATGATGCCTTAACAAACAAAAAAAAAAAGGAAGAATAAAAAGAAGAAGAATTTTCTATTATCGGTCGATAAAAAAAAGGAAACTTCTTACGTATTCGTTTAAGTGTTCAGTATTACATTAGTAGTTTAGAGAATCGTATCAGTATTAACACAACAATAAGAAAATAAGCAACTAAGAGTAAACTATTCGCAATTATTTAAACGATTATACGATCAAGTGTTAAAGATCTACGATCTAAAAAGGGGCGAAGAACATAAATTATAAATAGGTCTGCAAAATATCCCTAACCTAACCTAACCTTTGCAAAACGCACGTGTCCCACTTGAGTACTCGAACAAACATTGATCTCGATTCAGTATCCATCACAGACACGATGATTGGTAAATAAATAAAAAATACTTTGGTTACAAAAGGGTTAAACTACCTCGCAAAACATTCTACGTCTTCCACTATAAAGTAACACGTCACGACACCTTTTATTCCACTTTACATCGCGTTTCTGTATGCAAAATCCAAAATCAAATCTTCCATATCCCCGTGTCAACATTGCAGACCTGACATTTCACAATTGCTGTACTCCTTCGAGCTCCCCTTTTTAGATCCTCAAATCCATCTAATTCGAGTTCAATCATCTGCGAATCTCCGGAAAATCTGCGCGTCAGAGTGTTCAAAAAGGCACTCGTTCCGTGCCAAACCACGTCTCTTTCTCAATTTTTAACTGAAAAGTCGTCGAAGACGCGAGAAACGACGGAGAGAGAGAAAAAAAGAAAAGAAGATGAGACAAGCGAAACCCACGATGGCGTGATAGAAGTCGATGTGTGGTTCGGTTCTGATGGAGCATGTGATATGTGTTTTCCAGGGTACAGCAAAACCTGCATGCCTACTGTAAGACAGATAGTTGACTGTCTCGTTGCTGCTCGACCCATGCCAATACGATGCGGCCCCTGCCTTACTGCTATACGTACTAATACTGCTACTAACAATCGCGGTAGTAACGGCGCCAGTCGCGTTAGTAGCACGGCTAACAGCAACAACATCAACAGCTACATCAACAACAACAAGAACGTACACGCCTACGAGAACATTCAGAGCTTTAGTATGCGCGATAATGTCCCGATCGGTTGCGCGACCAACCGCGACTAGGATTTCCGTTTCCCGCAGTGCTGGGGAGATTTTACACGGAATTTCTTTATGAGAAAATTTTCTCGACTTTTTCTCATTTTTGTCACAGTGAAACGCGATTTTATTCTTATACTAGACGAAGCATTTTTGGTATTTTTTCACACCCAATGGTGGGTAAGATTGAACATGCTTCAGAATAGTTCCTTTTACTGTACCGTAATCATGTTTTGTATTTATTTGTTACTAGGTTTGATTTATTTTACAGTAGACACAGGTTTGTCCAATTTTTTATCCTTCATATATTTTTTTTTATTTTTTTAAAAATGGTGAAAGGTATAAATTGTACTGAGTACATAAGGAGAGAGTCTCTTTTTGTGTTGTTTTTAGAAGGAAAAAGGGTAACATGCTGTACCTGAATCGATAGAAAATTGAAGAGCTTTACAAACGTTCATGAGTTTGGAATTGCTTTACCGGAAGTACAACAATGAGATATCATGAAATAGAGTATAATGTTTTTAATGTGCAACGGGTGATAAGGTGGGGATATTTGTGAGGAAATGAGGATTTGGGGAAAATATATCTATATACACATGTGTTGATGTTTAACATATATTTATTTTATCTTCGATTGAGATATAGTGGAACAGTTTTATTGATCGCGTGTCTCGCTGATTCTTATTAATTAATCAATAATTCGGAGTATATTTTTGCTCGATGAATAGATTACACGAGTGCAATTAGCATAGAAATTACTTGCTCTAAGCAATTTATTCCTAACGCTTTAACGTCGACGTAATGCTAAATTAAGCGCTTGGTGGTGCTTTTCGTTAGTTACTGTTATCACTGAATCAATTGGGAGAATTAGAATTTATTCCACCATCTATTTTCTCCCCGGCACTGCTTGCTTTTGGAAATAGATTTTTCGATCTTTTTAATTCTGTTTTTTTTTTCTATACTCAGATTGTGTCTTCTAACAGTAGCACTTGAAATATTTCTTGCAATATTAATGTTACAGAAAATGGTGTCGAATAGTACGAAAATTAATTATTTAAAAAATCAACATTGAAAATTTTTATTGAACAATTTTTTGAAATTAATAAATCTTTCGTGTGACACTATTTCCTCTAAAATTAACAATTTACCAAAAATGTTCCAAATTCTATCGTTACACGACTCGATTTTCAAATCGACAAGCACTCAAAAATTTGTCGAGAAGCATGTAATTAAACATTAAACAAAAAAAAAAAAAGAAGCGCTATTCAATATCTGGCACATTACCAAATATAACAAAATACCACTGTTTTCATTCTTATGGGGATTTGCAAGAATGAAAGTAGGCTCGTGAGAAACGGGATAATTTCATCCAGTCAGTCTCGAATGTTATTTTTATGAAATGTTAATTCCACTTTAGGCTATAGAAAGATGCTATATTACGTTGCTGGTTTGACCTTGTTTAAGACGAATTTTTTAGCTACTAACAGTTAAGTGCTTCGTACGATCAGGATTATATACCGGGTGGGCCACTAATTATCTTTTCTAGCTATGTGGTGGTACGAGAAAATTCTTACATGTAATTTAAATGGTTTCAAAGGGTGAATAAGATGAAAGAATTTTTTTTTTTTTTTCTCAAGGTAACCTGTTTTTTTAATATAAATATATTCTTTTTCTACTGTATGTTGTAGCAAACATGCGTAATAACATAACCTTAAAATGACTTTAAACTCTAAAATTTTTAATCAAATGTGAAACTTCTTTTCATTGTTTGTTATTTTTTCCCATCTCATTCACCCTTTGAAATCGTATTAAATTACGTATGCAAATTTTCTCGTATCACCATAGCTGCAGAAAATAATTAGGTGGTCCGTTTCACTTAGCCCACCCAGTATATACCTGTAGTCGTTATTAACCGCCTAAGAATTCCTTGTTCTCTATTTTCATACGGGACATAGCGTCACTTAAATCGTGCACCATAGGTTGCGTGTCTATAGTTACGATATTTTGCAATGTCCTAGTCGCAGAGGGGTATTGCGCACTGTCTACGGCGATGTGTAATTTCGCTAACGATTTAATGACACGCCGATGGAAACGACGTCTTCTGCTTTGGTACTTGTATCGTAAGTGTCGTTTCGAAAAGAAATCAATGGTCATGCGATGAATATCCTACGAAATGACAGTGTCGATCATTTGTGGAACGCGAAATTCTTGAAATTCCGTCGTAAATTTTCAATATTTTTTTTCTCCTGTTTTATTTTTTTTCTTTCAAGGCGTTCGTCGTTAAATGACGATAAATCGCTGAGCGAGAGAATCGAAGTAAGGATGACTTACTCGGGCCGTTCGTTAGATCGAGAACGAACAATTTGATCTGAACGATTTTACCATTTCTCTGTAGTCCCGCGCTGAATAAAATTGACGACTTTACGAACTGCAAACGATTGCAGCGCAGCGTCTCGTCGAATACGAGGGCGAATTTATAAGAGGAAATCAAAATAATCGACACATATTTTGTATACGTTGGCAAGAGAGAGAGAGAGAGAGAGAGAGAATGTGTGAATGAGAGAGACGGTGTGTTTGAAAGGTTGAAAAGCGCAAAGAGAATTTCACGTGAATTTGGCGCGCTTGAATTACGAATATTTTTTTAAGAATTTTTTTTATCTACCAACGAGAAAGCTTGCTTGTAAAGATTAGCGTGTACGACTATTTACGTGGTAATTCGTCGATGAACGATATTACTTTGTTTCCCTCGTGTACTGTTGTTTGTACAACACTTGGACCTTTGCGCTCAAACAGATTTCTACGGGCAAATTTACGAGGCTTCCAAGTTTTTACGAAACTCCAAGAATATTAAAAGGAAAATTCTGATCAGTTGCAAGCGGAGAAAGAATCTATCTATATGCAGTCTAACGACAGCGATGTTTTCGAAGGAATTAACAAGTCAGCAAAAGTTCGAAGACGGTGTAATTAAAAGTTGAAGTGAGTCGATGTTTTTATAAAAATCTAACGAGTTCCTCGAGAGTAATTAAAATTTTAAATCATCCGGAAATTTATTGGCCACAAACTTGACAGAATTGCGCAAAGCAGCCTTCGGGACTGAAAAGAATTTTATTACTATTTATCACGGTTGTATCAATCTTCCAAGTGTCTCTCCAACTATTTTTCTCGTTAAAAAAGAATAAAAATTTTGCAATTTTGTCGACCATTTCTCACAGTTGATATCGTTGGAATGCAAAGGGTTAAGTGTTACGTAACTTTCTTTTTCTCTTAACAATAGTCTTCGCCAAGAAAATTGATCATCAAGCACCACATTCAACCGAATACTGTTCTTTTTAGCGCAGGTTCAATGGAATAACAGTCGAATAAGCGAGATGAGGATATAATTACCGTAGAACTTTAGAGGTTAGGCTTACGTTTTATTGCGTCCCTGTGTGATTTATTTCGCGGCCTCTCACCTAAGTGCCAGGCAATTCCGAGTCACGTCGAATTATGCGTGATGTCTTTAGTTCGAATAATAATCGAGTCGATTCAGCTACCTGTATATTGAAGTAGCTTACGCGGTTGCTGAATAACGCTTGAGACCGCAATATTCACGGACGTCTTTGAGTTTTCCTGCCTTTTTAAACGCAATTACTTCGGTCCTTTGTTCCGCAAAAAGACATTCCAGAATCGATGGTCGATGTGACGTATCCCAGTAGAATTATCGATAATACATACTCCAGCCTAAGAACGAGTTACGAAAAAGAAAAAAAAAAAATAACGTAAAGAAAAAGTTCACACGTATAGTTCGCACGTTGTATATGTTTGTATACTATGTTAATCTCCGATAATAGTGAATGTCGTAACACATGTATATCTGTGAAACAAAAACACAAAAAAAAAAACTGAAACGTGTAAGAGGAGATCAAATAAATCAGAAACGAAAACTTATATTTCATCGATGCCAAAATAGTGTAATTTCTTTTATTCTGTCTATGTACATTTCTCTTCCTTATTAAATACTTCATACTGAACACTTCATTTTAACGAGGTTGCCTCTATCTGATGAATTACATTTTTATAGATCGAACCTCGATACGGATCGTTTCGTCATGCTCCCAGAACAGTAGAAACGAGAAATTTCGACGAAGAATTACAATAAGAGGTAAATTTATCCCTGACACGTTCACCTTCTTGAAGCATTCTCTTCTCCTGTTTATTTAATTAATAACCGATAACTCACTCATCTTCGACTCGCGTAACATCTTATCCTACAGTAAGAACAATAAACCTAAAGAGAGTTATTATTCCGCACGTCTAAACTTGCCATACGAACAAAGTTTATCACAAACGCAGCTCAGACGTTCCAACACGGCCCTTCGCTTAAATTAAACGTAACTCCTTATCGACTATACAAGACATATTACAATTTTATACATCATAAAAAAATAACACGATTCCCCGTGACTACAACTACGAACTAACTAAACGCTACCTACGTTAGAAAAATTAAAACGAATCAACCCTGTGACGTGTGTGAAAAAATAATATTCCTGTCTCACTATTACACAAATAACTTGGTACTTCTTTTTTCTGTTTCGTCTTAACGTTCTTAGTATGCTCGCGTGATTTTTACGTCGATTTCACCCTCAACTGGATCAAACACATAGCTATGAAGCCCGCGATCCACGCTGAGACCACTAAAAATCCCGTGAATACTTCCGGATCGTCCAAGGCGTTCCCTTTCTCCAGGACTGCCCTCAGCGAGATTCCTGGCAAAAAAACCAGATTACTCCTGAAATATTAAAGACATCCCGGATAAGTATACCGTATGCATTCCAATTCATACTCCAATTCCCTCACACTTTTATTCACCTACTCCAATTTTTTCTTTCTCTCATTTTCCCCTCACCATTATTTCTTTTTTATCTCTCTCACATCAACTTCGCATTCGAAATTGACGTGCGCCGAATATCAATTATTCCCATCTTTCTTTCCGACAGATGAGAATAATGAATAAATTACTCATTTAATCACTCACCGCACAGTAGCACCAACGGATAAAAGCTTCCGACTGATGCATAATTGACCAGAGCGTGAGAGGTGCACATTACCGATATGAGGAAACCTATTAATCATTTTTTTTTTTTTTATTGTATTAATTCTTATACTGTTATTCATTAATTACTTTTTTTTGTATGCTCGTTAATTCGTTGATACAACATATTTGTTGTTCACGCAAATGTTTATTCAGAAAATTACCATAAGACATGCCGCATATTCCTTCTAGCACAGCTAGGAAGATTACGATGACCATTGATCCTTTGCATTTAACGTCGTATTCCAAAAAGGTGAGGCACAATGCTGTCGTCACTTGTAGTATAATCAGCATGATTTGCGATACCAAGTGCGTGATTAGAATCTCCCATGTTTTGACACCTGTTTCGTTGTAAACGTGTGAATTAGTAACGGTGAAATTTATTGTTCGATGAAATGAATCCAATTGTTTCTGCTAAAGTAGTTTCTCAGTAACACCCTTTACTTTACCGCTATTCGTTTATCAGAGCGTACAGAGACCGTATGCGGAAGCGAAAGAAAAGGAAAAACAAAAGGAATAATTAATGAGAGCTTATTAAGTAAGAGTTTGAGTGAATTAAGGAAGTGTGAGTCAGCCGATTACGCTAACGCATTAGCATATTGAAACAAACTGCGTCTAATTATAAATTCGACAGTATTGTACGATCATAAGTTAGCGTTAGTGACGTCAGCGAATCTGTCATATAAAATCTGCAAAACCGTTCGAAATAAAAAAAAAATGGAGAATTTTGTTTTATTACTCATTAGCGAATCAGGAAGTGGTTGACTGTTCGTTAAGATAGATATGAAGTTTCTTGACGTCTGACTAATCTTGATTTTCGAGCAATATTTCTGAATGCTCCTGAATTATTTATATTTCTCATTTTTTCAAGGTTTTCAAGTGTTAATAGCCTCTCTAAATAAAACTTACCTTGAACCAGGGTCCTGTCCCATACGCCTGAATTGCGATCTGTGATAATTATAGTGGAACAAACTGACGTTGCCATGATGAACAACGTTCTAAAAGAGGAAATGACATTTTTTTTATGTGGATACGAAAAAATTTTACTGTTTATAGAACAAGTATGATTTTGGTGTGGAACTTACGACAATACGAACGGTGGTGTAACAAATGACACGTAATTTTGATCTTTCGTACCATAAATCGGCTGTTCGAACTGAAAGATTTAAAAAAATATAACAATATCGTTATTTCACGCGTTTCTCGTGAATATCAGTTTTATCAAAAATATACTTACACGAACCGGTATGTCGGCATATTTCGGAGAAATTTTGCACTCCTTCATGATTTTCTCGTATTCGTTGAGAAAGCTTTCGAATAACTTTTTCTGTATGAACAGGTTAATTTGTCTATCTGTAAAAAGGAAAAATAAAAAGGGTTACTGTACCTTGGGGAAAAATTCAAGGAAATCTTTTGTTAATAGTTGATCATTTTTACTCTGCTTTTAAAGTTTCTTATCAGAGATTACGAAGTAGAATTACAATTTTTCTTTATTTCGAGTGTTCTTTGCATGTCGTTGACTGAACTCAAAACTTCAACTTTCTTATAACGTTCAGTTTCAATAACAGTATTAATATACCACCACACACCTGGATTATGCAACTCCATTTTAATCCGACTACTTAAAATAGCCTCATCAGACACTGCTAAGAAATCGTCCAGCATCTCCCTCATGCTGGCCGAAAAATTTTGCTTAAACTGCATAATTCCGACACTTTTGTGCTTCATAATATCACGGTGCGCCTTTTCATAATTGTCATAATATATCTGAAAATCGAAACAGGACTTGCAATTCATATTTAACGTCATTAAAGAGAAAATATAGAATTTCATTTAGAAAAAATTAAGTTGACCTTTGTATCTCGTGTATCGAGATAGCTATAGCTCAGTTTAACAATTTTCTTTGGCTAAACTAGTAAAGGTATCGTAATACTTCTTTTTTTTTTTTATAAAAAGGTACATCCTTAGACTACAATAAAAAAAATTAGTTCAATTCAATTTTTTCAAACTTCTCCTTCAAAACACGTGTGCAGATATTTCGTTTAACCACCTTCTCCACAACAGAATCGTTAATCCCATCCAAGAATCGACAGCTGAGATCTACGAAATCACAGGTGCGCTCAGTCTCGTTGTAAAAAACTGTTCCCCGAATTCTCCCGCCGTTGCAATTGCCAGCCTCGTGATTCACGATGTACATAGACAGTTCTTTCGGGTCTTGGCCGACCGCGTTGAAGAAACACAACAGCTCCACTATCGGCAGAAGCAGCGAGAACAAAACTCCTCTGAGAAAAGGCAAAGGAATTATTACGATTCATTTTTTCACGACGTTTGCTAATAACAGAGATCTGCAAGATTTTACTGTCCAGAAACAAAAGTAGTTTCGCTATAGTTTTTCGTGCACGTTGGATTTCAAAAATGGTACAAAACGCGTTCTTTCGAGGTCTCCTACCCCATTCTTTCTCGCAAACATGAGGCGATAGGATATTTTAATTTATAGATTCATATTCAGCGTGCAAAGAACGTTCTTTCCAGGGCGCAGAAAAAATTTTGCAGACCAATTATCCTGCTAATTACCCAGGATGTCTCATGAACTGAAGTCCATTCTTCACCAACAAAGCTTGACATCTCTTCTTTGAACTGCTTTGTAGTTTCCATTGGCTCTGCAATAGTAATTACATTTTCTTCGTTATTTCTCCATTTCATAGAGAGCAAGAGTATAACGAACTGTTAATGGAATTTGAATAAATCATGAATGGAGAAAGAAGTATCCTGTCGAATGATTTATTAACGTCATAATTTCATCTTAAGTTTTAATGAATTAATTTGCAAGGAAGTTAATCGATCATCCTGTCACGCGTCGTTTAGATTTCCAACGTCCACTGACAATTTTGCTTCGAAGAATTATTTCTACGATTGGTGAACCTTTCGAGAGAAATAACAGAACGCGGGAAGACTCTTCCTGAATATATCAACGACGTCGAGACTTCAATGAGACGCAAAAAATGTTTCATTTTGAATGAAACGGTAAACGAAGAAAATTTGTGGAATTGCTCAATGCCAAGTTTGCAAATTACAGAGCAGTATTAAAGGCTCGAGTTTTTTGCCCGTTCGTTTGTCCTTTACCGATTGGGGGTAACATTGCTGGGAAAGTATTATCGTTGCCTCACCACGCTGACCTCTACCTCATTTCTTGGCACCAATACCGTGCGCCATTTTAGCGAAAAAATGAACGAAGCCCACATAGTCTAGCTTGAATACCTTGGACCTTTCTATGGACATATCCAATGAGTCGAACAAATGATTTCTAACTGCAAAAGAGGAATGGCTGTACCAAGAGTAATGCGAAGAAAATGAGGAATTGAGAAGAGAATGTGCAAATTACCGACTGAGAGATAAATCTTAGAAAAGAAGAAAAAGTGAAATAAAAGAATTCTTACATTCTGAGAAAATCATTGTAGCAAACAATCTACATCTCGTCTTTGCTTCTCATTGCCAGAAGCTGGAAAATCTTTGCATTATCTCTTTCAGCGTGTAGAATAATAGACTCGTAAAATTTTACCTGACATCTCTTCTTTCTGCTGATAATATTTATCTTTAATGTTAATCATACCTTGTGTAAAAGATTTCACACAACGTAAAACATTAAGAGTGTCGTTTTTCATGAATGACAAATACTTCTTTTCACACTCTAAAAATAGTGTCTTATTTAACATTCAACATATTTCCTGCTTTTGGACTGCCAATTGTCTAATGCAATTAGAAGCTTACTATCACCTTTTTAGCATAGCTGTCGTACATAGAATTAGCGCTGATGACGTCGGTGATTTCCGTGGATGAATTGGTCGTCTGAACGTTGAACTGAGTTTGATTCTGTGATTGCAATTGGCTCAGGTTTAAGAATGCCTCTTCCAGAGAATCGGTGTTCCATTGTTCCAATAACTCACGCGGTGACGTCTCAGCCAGCAGCAGTCCACATCTCAGTAATCCAATCTGACAATCATGACGATGGTATTAACATTAACAACTCTTACCTTTCTATAGCGACTATACTTATGTCGTCGATAGACATCTATTAAGTGATGACCAATCTGAGACACGAAGCTAATAATAAAGCTAAAGAACAATCTGTTCGACCTTCTTTAAATCGTTTTTAATTCAGGGTTATTTGAAAGTATCCTACGTTTATCAATATTCTGCACATTCTTCTATTCCCTTATTTTTCAATTAAACGAAAAATCAGAGATAATTCAATTTTATTCAATATTCCATCGGGCAAATTTCATACACCTCCATTTCAACATTTTTGTTTATAAAAATTTTTTTTTAATTCCTGTGTATTGCTTATATGTTCCTCTATGATTAATAAAAAGTTTGTTCAAAAAAGGGTTTTCATTACTTCAAAATAAATTCTCAAAGAAATGGTACGTTTCTAACAGACCAAAGTAGTGTCTTAAATTGATATATATTTACTATGTTGTACGACAAATTCAAGCGTAATGTCTGTTACATCGAATCGACGTGCTGCAACGCTAATTTTCTTGTGTCATAATTTACCTTGTCGGCCTGCCTCGCTTCCTCGATGTAATGCGTGGTGATGACGACCGTGACGCCTTCTTCTTGCGTGATCTTCACTAAGTAGTTCCAAATACTGCGCAAAGAATCCACGTTTACGCCATTCACCTTGAGCTCGCGTTAATGTAAAATGAGATAAAGGAATGAAAGTGTACTTGCTTGTCCCTTAAAACTGGATCTAAACCGACGGTTGGTTCGTCGAGGATCAACAGCTCGGGTTTGTGAAGTATAGCTGCCGCTAAGGACAATCTTCTTTGTTGTCCACCGCTCATATTTTTTACCAAACAATTACTGGGCGGTAGCTGCAGTAAATCTCTCAGAAATATGTATCTCTCCTCTGAAATCAATTTTTTTTTTGTTTCTCTTCGAGATAATTCATGCATGTTGATTCAGATGACGCATAAAAGTGTGACAGGATAATTGTCGGTTAATTGAATATATTGTCCGATCGATATCAAAATGTTAAAGGTCACTTTTTTTTATTGGAAATCGAGTATGCAAACACTTATGTTTCTGTGACAATTTGTATAAATTTTTTGGATTTTTCTATTATAATCCTGTTAGATAATGGTAATTGCAAATTGAGAGGATTTCCTGCTTTGTAATTTATTCTGTTAATTAGACGATCATGGAGCACTATTTTATCAGAAAATTGAGTATATGGAATAATGAGAAGTGAATAAATGTGAAAAATTCAATATATAGAATTGTAAGAAGTGAATATAAAAAATTAAAATGTACAAAATATTGAGAAATAAGTGTAAAAAATTGAATATACAGAATATTGAGAAATAAGTGTAAAAAATTTAATACACAAAATATTGAAAAATAAATATAGAGAATAGAATATACAGAATATTTAGAAATAAATGTAAAAAATTGAATATACAGAATATTGAGAAATGAGCGTAAAATATTTTAACACGCAGAAAATTGAAGAAGCGAAAGAAGTGGAGACTTAATTTTTCTCCACAATTCACAGCTCAGGTAGCAAATTTCGAGTAGAATTACCAAAAAAAGAAAAGAAAAAAAATGTGAAAATCGATTGAATTTCATGGTCGAGGGAACACCGATTTAAAAGAGATATGCTGAAATTGGCAAATTACCGATTACATGATCCTCCATGCCGTTGATCCTTCCGAAGAAGTATAACGCGCCAATAACAGAGAATTCTGCAACTAACGAAACATCCTGCGGCATGAAACCCACTCGAGGTCCAGGGATCCCCGATTCTTCGGTTCCCGGTTTCCCACCAAGCACCCAAATGTCACCGCTGTCTAACTTTTTCACGCCAACCACGCAAGATAGTAGAGTGGTTTTGCCACAGCCACTGGAACCCAGCAAGCCATATCTGCGCGAAGCAATCGACATTTCAACGATAACACCGGTTAGAACAGTAAAGAGCGAGAAACAAAAAAAAACCTGAATTTTGCAGCCCCGATAATCCGCAACCTTGAAAAACCTAAAATTGTTAATTCATAGAGTAGAAATTGTTTTTATCTTAAACATTATTCTCTCAGTTGACGCTGCCAATGTTGTTACTTCTACGTTATTCATCCGTTTGAAAATTGTTAATTTCTGGGGGTGGAATTTCTTATTTGAAAACCTGTTTCACGTTTTTGAAAGTTTTGAAACTGAAAATTATTTTATAGATTCATACATCGTGTTAAATAGAGAGATTAATTAATCGTGTTAAATATACAGAAATACAGTATTCCGTAGCGGAGATCTTTAATTACAGGCACTCAGAATTTGCATAGTACAGTTTTATTCAGAATAGCTGTTTCTACGCTTGTGTGATTTGTTACTTAGTGACAATTTGCGTATCACTCACATGCAGCCTTTAGGGACGGTCAAGTTCAGGCCATTCAGGATGGGAACTCCCTTTCCGTACCGTTTCCCCGCGTTCCTCACGACGATCGCCTGTTGCACCACCATTTTGCGAGGCGTGAATTAATCTGTAACATCGAACATGCATCATTTCGTCGATAAGAAAAGTCAGAGGGGATGAAATTTTTGTGAATTATTCGTTTCGTTTCTTACAATACATTAAATCCATTTTGATCGACGCAAATTTCTTGCGGGATTCAAACGATCTAAAGTTCTATATATACGCAAATTTCACGGTATCCGTGAAACGTGATAAATCGTTTCTTTTAGAAATATAAAAATTGATTTTCTTATTATAATTTTTCTGTTAAACGTGACTGCTAATTTGTCGCGTATTTCGCAACCGTTGTGCGTAACTTATTGCCCATAAAATGGTACTTTTGACATTAAGTGGCGTTCGCAGTATTACATTGCATTACATTGTTTTTTGCGCTGAACTAACAGGATGTAAAAGTGTCGATTAGTGTGCATAAAATTATAGCTTTTGAAATTCTAGCCAGGCTCGTTAACAACTATTGCACAGCGTTTTTTGTGCGTGGCTAGATGCGACGGGAGAATGTTGCTAAAATTATGAGAAGTGTTACGATATGCTCTGAACATTGAGATAATCCTGAAATTTCTCTATTTTCAGGGGGAGGTTAGAGTTGAGAGACGAATTTCTCTCTGAGATAAACCTGAAATTTCTCTATTTTAAAATTTTAATTCCTGTGTCTTAAGATTCAAATTTCTCTATTTTAAGATTTAAATTTCCCTATTTTGAGTAGAAGAGATTAAAACGATACCGTAGTAAAAGATCATTGAGAAACTATACACGTTCTTTTATAAACAGCATCTGAAGTTCTATTTTTCAGAATTTCGATTTGCACAATAAAGTGATTCTTTATAAAAAAAAAAAAGTGTAAAAGCAGCACAAATTGATTACACTGTATAAGACACGTCTTCTGTGTGATTAATTTAGTGTAACGCAGAAATCAGCGAACTTTGTGAATGATAGTAGTGAATGAGGTTTCTAGAGCAATGGGTGCGAATGAAAAGTGGTCGAAATGAAAGGATCGGATGTGTGTTTAGGATTAAGTATTGAGTTGCAAATAGTGTGTGACGATTGTTTCGTCGTATCTTACTTCGTAAAAATAAATAATCAAAATTACTAGTAGAACATTGTAAATATTAAATTCATTTGACTTAAACCTGCAGAATTACAATTTCATATTCAAAATTAATTTTTTCAAAAACTGAGCAAATCGTAACAAAATTTTATTCAATACTTTTTACTTACTTTGTTTTTAATAGAAAATCACTTCTTTGTATATTATGATTTACCAGACACCCTGTATATCTATATCAAAGTTAATTTTCTCAATAATTAGGCAAGCATTCGACAAATTTTTATTCTGCATTTTTTACTTACTTTGTTTTTAATAGAAAATCACTTCTTTGTATATTATGATTTACCAAACACCCTGTATATCTATATCAAAGTTAATTTTCTCAATAATTAGGCAAGTAATCGACAAACTTCGTTCCACATATTTCACTTATTCTTTTTTTTTTTTACAAGAAATCACTTCCTGGTGTACTAAATTTTATGGAACACTCCTTATATCGATTAGCGGCAATTTTACTTGGACGACGTTATTAAGTAATCCAGCATTCCATAGTTCCAGATTTCTCGGGAATTTTATCGAAACGTTTCATTAATCCGCCTGTATGTTCAAATCTAGGACTAACGATCGCATAATATCCGATATATTGTTCTCAAGAGGGAATTTCGCCAAGGATATCAATCTCTTGCTTCCACCTGTGCGTTTTAACAGGTGTTTCTCTTTTCTCAGCAAAAGATTGCTACTTTTGCGTAATTTCATATGGACCCGTAATTTTACTGCTTTTCACTTTTTTCTTTTTTTGCATGGAGAGATATGTCGATTCGATTCGCGACAAAAAAAGAAAAAAACGACGTGCACGATTTCCTCTTTCTTTCTTTCTTTCTCTTTAATCGACACACGCTTGCGAAATATCAATGCGAATAACCCGTTGCTACATATTTACGCCACAGAATCAGGTTGTTGCAGAGAATGGCCGTGTGTATGAGCTGGTAAATTGGTGAAGAAATTGCCCGGTGATTTCACAAAAATGTTCTTATATTATTTTCTAACGGCTGTAACTTTTAAGTATTTCGTTTAAAATGTTTGTTTTGTTTTAAATGTTTTGAGCAAAATCTAATTTTTTAGATAGATTTGGGATTTTTTTTTTTTTTGTTTATGGAGTGAAAAATATTAGCTTTGCTGTTGTTGATCGAATATTAACAATATTTAATGAAAATATTCGAAATTTTTTGGAGATTCTTAAAGAATGAAAAAGACTGCCTTAATCTCAATCGGTATTTCAGTTAAAGAATTCCAAATTACATTTTCACGTGATAATCCACTACTTCTCTGGATTCTCTCATTCCCTAAACATTAATAAACCTAATTTCCATTGAAACGTTCCAATATTTTCGAAGATTCTTAAAAAATAATAAAGACTGCCTTAATCTCAATCGGTATTCTAGTTAAAGAATTCCAAATTACATTTTCACGTGATAATCCACTACTTCTCTGGATTCTCTCATTCACTAAACATTAATAAACCTAATTTCCATTGAAACATTCCAATATTTTCGAAGATTCTTAAAAAATAAAAAAGGCTGCTTTAATCTCAATCAGTATTCTAATTAAAGAATTCCAAATTACATTTTCACACGATAATCCACTACTTCTCTGGATTCCCTCATTCCCTAAACATTAATAAACCTAATTTCCATTGAAACGTTCCAATATTTTCGAAGATTCTTAAAAAATAATAAAGACTGCTTTAATCTCAATCAGTATTCTAATTAAAGAATTCCAAATTACATTTTCACACGGTAATCCACTACTTCTCTGGATTCCCTCATTCCCTAAACATTAATAAACCTAATTTCCATTGAAACGTTCCAATATTTTCGAAGATTCTTAAAGAATGAAAAAGACTGCCTTAATCTCAATCAGTATTCCAGTTAAAGAATTCCAAATTACATTTTCGCGTGATAATCCACTACTTCTCTGGATTCTCTCATTCGTTAAATATTAATAAACACAATTTTCATTGAAATATTCTAAATTTTTTGTAGATTCTTAAAAAATAAAAAAGGCTGCTTCAATCTCAATCAGTATTCTAATGAAAAAAATCCAAATTACATTTTCACACGATAATCCACTACTTCCATCGATCAGTATCAATCATTATCTCACAAAGTCACGTATCTCCTCTTCCAACTTCCTACTTTTCTTTTCTTTTCTTCCCTCCAAGCACATGTTTTTAATCGTAAACCAGATATGATCGATAGATCCTATTAGACGGATTTAAAAAAGTTCACCGTAATACTTATCCTACTGTTTTATTCCAAAGACACTCGCTCGATCGGTCAATATAACACACGAGTTCAATGACGTTGAAGCAGTTAAAGACAGATAATACAAACAGGTTTCACACGAGCTGCTGGAATCATCATTAGGAATTCCGATCGGATCGCCCCGATGTTAAATATCAATCACTACGGTGGTCCTGTCTATTTATCATTCAGTGCATTTAACTCGGATATACATTATCGCGTCGGTGTGACACGAATTCGTAACAGTGCTCTGTTAACTGAAATTATGCGATCCCGTGCCAGAAACTTGGCAAACTTGAGATAACGATGACGTACGCGTGTATCCAGATCGGAACGTTTTGTCTGTTAAATGTCTGTTGTAGTACACTCACGGTGCATTTAGAATTCAGCTTCTCTGCATAACGAGTGATTTATTCTGTGCAGTTTGCATAGAAATGCGGTTGGAAATTTTATGTATAAGTACGTTTGCAATTGTAAATTTCGATTTGTTTAGTCGGTGATCGCATCTGAGGGAAAATATTGATTTTAGATGTTTGAGAAGTGGAATTTGTTGAATTTTTATCAACATATTGAATGCTCGTTTTATTTTTTTAGTTTTATTCTATCTGTGACTCATGCTGCCTTTGCCTGTGTAGAATTTTTATTTATGAAATTTTAATAATGTAAGGATTTTTCTAGACAGAAATTCTCAATCTTCTAATTCTCCAATATTTACGAACAGAAATTCTTTTTGCATGCAACTGTTTGGTTTTTATAAGAGAATTTATTTGTCTGCTCTTCGAATTTAACGAATATGGCACTGATGTGTTTAATAATATTTCAAAGGGAAGAAAATTAAAAAGCTTCAAAATATAAGCAAAATGCGAACGTGATCCTTCAGTTTCGAAGATTTTGAAATGAAACTTTATCGACATTTGTAATTTAGTGCAACATCAAATTTATAAAAATATCTCGAACAATTACATAGATTATTTGTGTTTTTCTAATTTCCAAATTTTTATTCAATTTCTAACTTTCGAAGACCGCTCGTTAAAATAAAATTTTCAATATAAAGTAACTCATATAAATTGCATTTCTTTTCACTATTCGTTTTACGTTGAAAAAAAAAAAAAGAAGAGTGGAAACAATATCACTTTTTCTACAAAAATCAACATCCTTTCCGGCGAGCGTTAATTGATTAGTTTCATCGACCGCGTACGTTCCCCGGAAGTAAGTAGTTTCGATCCGTAAGTACAAAAAACACTCCTCTTCCTGCTTCCTCGATGCGTATCCGTGAAAAAAAAAAGCGTAATGCGGCTGCTTAAGCGATGCAAAATGATCGAGGAAAAACGAAACTTCCACGTTGAAGAACCGTGATAACGTTCGATTGGTCCCGTTTTATTCCTCTGTATACTTTCTCACGTCTCAATTTGATTCCTTTCTCAAACACCACATCACACGTGCGCTATGAGCACTTTCACCGTTTAACTGTTCGTGTTTTAATTAATCTTCGGTACTACGTACTATGTACATCGCTACGTGTGTGAAAACTTAAAAAACTCAAAACTTATCAAGACTGAAGGTTCAAGATTTATCAAAATTTTCAAAACTTCCAAGACTTTGAAGATTCTTTCAAGGTATTCAAAAATTTTTGAAACTC